TTACGGGAGATGAGTTCAACGAAATACTCCAGATGATTCGAAATGCAAAATTTCAACCGAAGATGTTCAATGCACTACCTCGTACACCGACAACAATGCTATGGGATGAAGGGGCCATCATAGAGTGCGACCGTTTAATACGTGTAGGAGATGATCCGTATCGCCTTCGGAAGATCGAGATCACATCATTCACCACAAATAAACCAATATTGTTGGGCTACTTCATGTGTGCTCCCATATGTGAATACAACGATATTAATGGCTCTCCTGAAAAACCACTACCGGCAAATGTGACTATTGCTAGAGTTCCAAATGCTCTGTTTCCTGTCTCCACTATTTTACACACCACGAAAGTAGAACTGACGGGAGATTATACTAAAAATTCAATCAAACTCTCCAAGCCAATCATCATTCATCCCGAGTTCAAGTACGAAATTCAATTCAACATAGATATTTCGGATGATTACGCTATTTTTAGAGAACTGAAGTCGGAGTTGAACCTACAAAATGGTATCATTGTAACATTTCATAATGATCCTTTGGTAAGCGGTAAAAACATGGGTCTGGTTTATAAGCTTGGATTCAATCGCATTGAATGATCAAACTTTTATATTGCTTGCCTCGAAAGAAAATCGAAACTAATTATTGATTGTTTACAACAAATAAGTCACAGAATAAAAATAACAATTAAAATATTGGAATTGTTTCTTGGTTTCTTAAATATCTTTCGATTAGATTCTTTGTCATCAATTTCTTCTTTTTCGTTGGACAACTTTTTATTGGCAACTAAAACGTCGAATGATCCCATCTTGCAAATTGATCTTCTTAATGAATACTAAAAGTAAGTGCCACATAAAAATGATGTTAGAATGTCCAACGGAAAATGATGTGGCTAAGTAGTGATTCAGTGGTTAAACGCATCTTCTATTAGTTCTAGCACCATACTGATTCTGAATAGTCGCACTTTCTTGCACATTTTTGAAAAAGTAATGAGTGTGTGTGTGTGCCTGTGCACTGTGCATGTCTATGTTACATATAATGTGAAACACAACACGAAGTACAACCACTTTTTAGGCAAAATGTCAAACTAAAATCATCTTGCTCGACGTGGCATCTGTATTGCCCGATGCTTTTAGGTTAAATACTAAAAGAAAATAGCAACAATGGATCCTTATTCAAGGAAAAAATATTTTGGAACTTTTTATAAATTCTTTACCATATGTGTAGCCAAATGTTCAACTCATCGATCGATATACTCATATAGGACAAAAAATAATGAAGATATAACCATTCAAATTTGGCGTTGGGCACCCATGTCCAATGTACGAGATGAAGGTTATTATCTGAAGTATGATCCATTCATTGTGTTGTGACCATTTTCCTAAACCGTCGTTGGTTTTTACAATTCTTTAATTAATTAATGTGCGATTCGTCGAAGAACACCGATACCAGTACCGATGGTACACAATCTAGTGACTTTTTCTTCATACAATTAATATCAGTAAAATCGATTTGCTGGCGGCTCTTTTTTGAAACGATGTCCTTGACTTTCAGAAATAGAAAGAATCGATTCAATTTTGATTTCTTCTAGCCAATGAAAATGTAGTGAAATTGAATCGTTGTCATCATGGAATCAATTTTGATTCAAATCTTTTTTTAAATAGAAATGCCTTTCAATTTCCAACTTGACGTAACATAATAAAATGGGAAAATCCCGCATTGACCACCTGAAAATTAGAATTAAGATTGATTATTTAAATTAATAAAATAATTCAAAGTGAATCTTACGTACCTCTTTAAAAGAGTCGTGTGTACACGTACAGGCGACATTACTGAAACCCTTAAGAATCACGGCCTCTTGGGCATCGATCAAGATTATATGCATCATGCGCTGTATTTGCCTTGGGAATAAAGAATGAAGTTAGAAATCTTCCAAACGATACAAAATCTTTTTATAGGGATGGGAATTTATCGCCCACCAGATCCTAATAAAGTTTTTTTTTGCATAGAACAAATGTTTTTGTTCTATTTTGGCTTATCGAATCTTCCATTTCAACAACACTGTACCTTTTAGTGGATACTAAAACCTTCATGGAATACTCAAACTGTTACTACATATATGGGTAACCGTAATTTCCATTTTCCTCATTTTCCTATTGAAAATCGAGCGTCCGCCGTAACATCGGTATCATGAGCTGTATTTCTCTTGAGAATAAATACCATTTGCTTTGATGAAATGCATCATCAACCTGGATGTGATTCGTCAGTTGTTAGTCAAAGCCACAAATGATAAAAATCAGAACGAATAACCAAAAACCCTTTCCGAATAGGTGATTTGAAGACCTCCCACATTGAACAAAATATAGCACTCATAATTCTTAACTTGAACGAAACAAAACAAAATCGTTTTTGGTCTTACTTATTCCTTTTTGTGTTTGGATTTATTTCGTGTTTAGCTAACTTAAATACAGTCTACGACAGATAGCTGAAGATATGTACTGAGTATAGAAACTTAGCAAACTGAGCTTGAAATGTTTTGATTTTGTGACTTAATATCTATGCGAAAATGAATTTATGACATTTGACAAACAATTTAGTTAAATTCGCAGGAGCATCACTTCGTTTTAACCGGGGTTTTTCTAAATATCTTATTAAATTCATCATTTGATGTACTCGTGATTTATATAATTTGGATGAAATCGGCAACATAGAAATGACGTTGAGAATTGAGCTTATCTGTATCCGTTTGAAATAAAAACAACTCCTACATAAACCTATTTTTAATTCAAGGAAATTTACGATTCTATTCACAGCAAAGAACAAATCTGTTTTTAATCATATTGGCCCGAGAGTGGGAGGAAAACAAAAGAGAGAATTTGGAATTTTATCAGATTTCAGGCAAAAAACAAAGGTTTAAAAATCATATTTGAATTCAATATAGCATGAGTTCGCCCTTTATATAAGGAGTGTGGCCCCATAGCTATCCACAATTTGATTGCTCTGTGTTCTCTTGAAAATATGATAATTTCAATTTATATTTATAATTTTAAGCCATTCTGACAATGGCTTATGCTTCTTGGACGATGTTGTAAACAGTTTTATGGTTTATCAATCAAAATGCATTCGTCAACTGTTTGACGTCATTGAAGTTGATAAAAAGTTTAAAAACAACTACATAAATTACTCATTTTACGATAAGTGGCATATCGCTCACTCAACAAAAATCTGCAGCGGAAGTGTGCTGAAGGACAAAAATGATGTAATTCAACGAATAAAAAATCCATGCTTTAGTATCATACGGATTTACTTCGACTAAGAGTGAGTTTTGTTGTATGAATCAAAATTGTGTGTATTTCAAGCAAAAATACCATTTCAAAGAATAAAAAGTGAAATTCATCGTTTAAATGCAATCATTATTTTATGTTGATTCAAACATAACACAAAAATATATTGTTGTTTATTATTTGCTCGCTTTTTATTTAAGATTTACAAGTGTTTGAATGGTGACAATGAAGTTTATCGCGATATTTCTTTGTTTTTCGTCAATTATTCGTGCCGGTATGAGATATTTCCCTATTTCAATAACAAATTTTGAAACATTCCAACATTATCATCCTCTTAGAGTTATCCAAACCGGTGCTGCTCATTGCGGTTAATTCTCCGCAACTGAATTTAATCGATATTGGCGAAGATGTGAATTTATCTTGTGAATCATATGGCTATAAAGAGGTATGAACAGATTTATATAGGCAGTTTATCTAATTCAAAATTCAGCGCAGAAAATGAATGAAAAATTTCGAAATAGATTTGTGACTAAGTGCACTTCATGAGGTGGATCCAATCTGAGAAAAAAAATTCTTTTCGGTCCAATCATTTTATGTTGAATAATTGAATGTTTCTCTATCAAAACGAATACACACAGAAGAAAAAATATAAAGAAATACACAGTAAGATCAATCAAAACAGGACATATGCGACAAATCGTGTAAAACGTTAAAAACGTGTAAAATATCGTGTAATTTTCAATGTTTCAAAGATGACGCATAATACGTTTGACAGATCCGTGTATCGGGTAATAGTATTGACCAATTCATTGTTTTATTTGAATTAACACAATATTTTATCATTTTACACGATTTGTCGCATAAATCCTGTTTTGATTGATCTTACTGTGTAGTTTTTTATATTTTTTTCTTCTGTGTGTATTGTTTCAACAGTCGAAAACATTGCGCACAGCAGATTGGTACCAAATTCAAGTCGAATTAAACCAAAAATCTATTTAAACATTTTCAGCAGTTTTCTTAAGCCGATCTCAAACCTTTTAAGAACAGTTTTCTTCTAATATTCTCAATTCATTTAGAATGCAAACACATTTTGGCTGAAAGATAATGGTTCGCTTCCAAAAAAATCCTTTCAATCCAATGGTGTTCTTTCAATTCCAAACTTCCAACCGGAGGATAGTGGACTTTATAAATGTCGACTGCAGTCGTGGCATAAACTGAAAAATATTACACTTGCAGTTAAACGTATGTGACATAGGGCAATCAGTGAAGATGATATCTCAAAAAAAAAATCAATTTGCATGCTTTTAGACCACATTTTGGAAACAACGTCAAAATCCAACACATTTGAAATGCTACCAACCCCTTCACCTCCATGTCGAGCATCGATTCCAAATTTCAAGCTGATTACCATTCAACCGGCAACCTTTTCCACCCATCCAGGAGACATTCTCGTGCTAGCCTGTCACAATGCAATCAATAGTAACGCTTCAATAACGTGGAAAAAGGCCAAAAATTCCAGATTGCCAGCCCATATCATCATTAGAAACGGAATTCTCATCATTAAAAGTGTCAGCGTTGAAGATAGCGGACGTTATAGTTGTGAATCAGTTGGAGAGTATGATATCATTTCTGATGTGGCTGATGTTTACATCAATCCAGATCAAACTAAACCAACTGAAGTTCCGACGACTATTTCCACGTCAGAAAATATCCTAGCTAACCGATTTCTACCAATAACAACTGAAACATCAGTTCGTGAAAGCAATTCAAAATTGTCGCCTCAACTTACAATTTCACCCAATTTAACAGAGGTTACCCTATACGAGGGCGATCGATTGAGTTTGGTGTGTACGGTTAAAACTGTTCCAGATCTTCTATTATTTAGCTGGAGTAAACCCAATCAAGATATTTATCATGGCAACTCTTCTTCACACAAGATTGAAATATCAAATGTCCAATTTAGTGATGAAGGGGTTTATACATGCCTCGCAATCAACAAGGTTGGATTAAGTGAAAAATCAATCAAAGTTTTGGTTCGTTTCAGAACTGTTAATAGTGAAGTTCGTACAAGTGTTCCCACTGGTGATCCGACTACTGCTTCCATTTCAACTAATTTACATGAAATCCCATCAAGTGTCACTGAAAAAGTCAAACCGGTCTATAATCCGTCAGTTTCTGATGAAGAGCCCCAATTTATTAACACACCCAATTGGGAATATAAAATACGTCTTGGTGAACGGGTTAAAATTTCATGTGAAATAGGCAAGTCGAATGAAAATGCAATATGGAAAAGACAAGATGGACGTCCATTACCGAGCAATTCTCATTTATCCGGCAATGATTTGGTAAGACGATTAAAAGAAAGCAGTGAAAATTCTACTATGGAATGGTGGGATGAGGAAGAAATACAAAATTGAGTTATTATCATACAGAATTCCTTGTATCGAACTAAACAGCCTATACGTTAAACAGTCTATACATATACAGGAAATACCATTGTTTCTCACCCATTTCTGCATCAAAATGTAATTTCAGATTATTATCGAAGCAAAAAAAGATGCAGTCGGTATTTATGAATGCTCTAAATGGGACGAAATGAATGGTGGCTATTCTTTTCAAACGGTTAAATTGACAATTTTTGGTACGCATTTTGATCGAAATCTTCATTGGAATTTATGATTATTTCTTCTTAGTATGGATATTTTTGTTATGATAAAACAAACCACAAACTATTCATATCATTTACAGAAATCACCACAAATACCCCAATCACCGTAAATACACCATTCGTCCGACCGCGTCCACCTCATATTACGATTTCGCCCAATTCCAGCGGTCTAACTCTGTATCAGGGCGATGAATTGCATTTGGTTTGTTCGGCCGATGGTTATCCAGCTCCTGAGGTACAATGGAAGAAAAACACTCTAGTACTCATTCAAGGTGACGGCTCATCCGCTATTCTCCACAAATCAAATGTTGGACTAGAAGATCAAGGGACATATGTTTGCTCTACTTCGAATACGGTTGGAAAAAGACTGAAACCGATAAAAATTTCGGTTCGTCCAAATCCACCGTTTCAAT